AACTCAGTCTCATGCCGCATCCCTAGTAGGAACGTTTGTTTGCATCATGTGCATATGACTTAGGCGACTCAACACAGGGGTTGGGTGTACCCAGAATCAAAGACCATCCTGATGCATATTTTACGTGCTACTTGTGCATTTATTTGCTTCGGATTTGCATGCTGACCTGCTTTTGAATGATGGGAGAAAATTAGAAAAAGGAAATAGCAGTGTAAGGGTTAAGTGAGTTAATCACCTGTTTTGAAAGAAAAAACCAATGTCCAAATGGTACTGAAACTCTGCCGAATTTTTGAGAAAAATGAAAAAAAAGGTTTTGTTTTCAAAAAATAGTTGGTTTTGTTTTATTTGCCCGAACTACGCCAGTTTGATTCTCACAGGGTGTGAGATACGTAGGCAACCCCCATCGGGTCCAACTTCCTTTTTTGCAAAAATAGCCCAAAAGAACAAAAATTTTTATTACGCACAAGTAAGGTGATGCCATTCTTGTCAAGAATAGCCGAATGTCCCTCAAAAGGGCGCCGGAAGGCCGCTTTTGCAAGAACAGCCGCCTTTGGTCATTTTTCAAGGTTTTGGCCGGTTAGCCGACAAAGCCTTAAAATCTTCGTTTTCGAAGTGCTGAAAGGCCGTATTGGCAAAGTTGGATATTTTCGTGAAAATTTTGAAAACAATGGTCATTTTTCTTGAGTCAAAATGAGTCATAATTTTCTTTTAATTAAAATCACCCTAATAAAAGTGCAGGATGAACACAAAGCAAAATGAACCTTTCTCAGTCCGTGAAGAGAAAGGTTCATTTTGATTTGTGCTCATCCTGCACATTTATTAGGGTGATTTTAATTAAAAGAAAATTATGACTCATTTTGACTCGAGAAAAATGACCATTGTTTTCAAAATTTTCACGAAAATATCCAGCTTTGCCAATACGGCCTTTCAGCACTTCGAAAACGAAGATTTTAAGGCTGTGTCGGCTAACCGGCCAAAACCTTGAAAAATGACCAAAGGCGGCTGTTTTCTTGCAAAAGCGGCCTTCCGGCGCCCTTTTGAGGGACATTCGGCTATTTTTGACAAGAATGGCATGAGCCTTACTTATGCGTAATAAAAATTTTGTTCTTTTGGGCTATTTTTGCAAAAAAGGAAGTTGGACCCGATGGGGGTTGCCTACGTATCTCACACCCTGTGAGAATAAACTGGCGTAGTTCGGGCAAATAAAACAAACCAACTATTTTTTGAAAACAAAACCTTTTTCTTCTTTGTTTTTTTTTTTCATTTTTCTCAAATTTCGGCAGAGTTTCAGTACCCATTTGGACATTGGTTTTTTTTCTTTCAAAACAGGTGATTAACTCACTTAACCCTTACACTGCTATTTCCTTTTTCTAACTTTCTCTCCCATGCATTCAAAGCCGGTCAGCATGCAACCGAAGCAAATAAATGCACCAAGTAGCACGTAAAATATGCATCAGGATGGTCTTTGATTCTGGGTACACCTGTCCTAGACGGACCAACCCCTGTTGTTGAGTCCCCTAAGTCAAATGCACGTGATGCAAACAAGAGTTCCTACTAGGGATCCGGCATGAGGCTTTGTTATACTAGGTTTAAAACCTTGGGTGTATTGTTCTAGATCTGGCTTACCCTAGCGGACAGCTCGAGGGGAGGGGGGCAACGTACCGGGAATACAGAAGCTTCACCGGCTTTGCAACTTGTCTGAACCTCGTTCTAAATTTGGGAATTGACTCTAACAGAAGAGAAGCTACACGAAGTGCACCCTTCTCCATGATTTAGAAGACTCAGAGAGAGGAAGGGTTTCGGAGCAGTTTATATACAGTTCAACAATATCAAAGGGGTAAAAAGCAACATTTAGCACATTAGGCTCAAACATGTGAATAAAACCAGATAATAAATAAAGCCAAATATAACAATTATTCCAAGCTCGAATTCTTCAACCCTGAACCCGAAGTTCTGGGTTCTTTTCCCCAGCAGAGTCGCCAGAGCTGTCACACCTCCTTTTTCCTACACCCCCGAAAGAAGGGTATAATAAGGGAGTTTTTTCCAACTTAAAGTGACAATCGAAACGGGATTATATTATTAAAAGATTCAGAGTCGCCACTTGGGAGATTTATGGTGTCCCAAGTCACCGGTTCAAATCCCGAAGCGAGGAAAGGATTGACTCTGTATTACAGTCCGCGAACCACAAATCCGGGCAAAGAATTCTGTTAACCCGGGAGAAGGTGTTAGGCATTCTCGAGTTCCGTGGTTCTAGCACGGTCGCTCAACTGTTATTATTGGCATATTATCTGATTTTAGAACATTTTGAACCTATGTGCATTTTAACTTTAAAACCGCTTTTATTTATTTTCAAGAAGATTTAACGTTGTCTAAAACATGTCTTTGGATTGCGCCACATGAAATGCACCCGCAATCCGAAACATATTTTATTTAACGTTATTAAGATTTAGATTTGGATCATATGAAATGCACACCCGAGTTTAGGAAGGTAATATTATTAAAATAACGCGCCTAAAGCAACTACACGTTTTTAGCTGTGCGAGGGCCATGGAAAATTCGCTAAATGGCGCGCCTCGAGTTCTAAGAATTTTAAAAGAGATAATTAAGTGAGGGCCACGCATTTGAGATTTTATTTGGCGCGGCGCACCTCAATTCCATTTTAAAGGGTATTCAAACTAAAGTTCGGAGGGCCATCTATTGCTGCTTTAAAAGGATTATTTTATGAGTGGTCCTTTTTATAATACAAAACATCTGTATTTACAGGAGTCAAACAGGAACTGAAGAAAATCAGAGGAAGAAGCACTGAAGCAGTCGTTGAAGCAGCGATCGTTGGAGCAGCAGTCGCTTGGAGAAGAAGTGGTTGTTTGTGTTAAGTTTTTGCTAAGTTTAAAAAAAAAAAACCTAACAGATGCTTAACCTCGCTTAAGCGCGCTTTTTTGCGCTTTTTGGATCGCTGCACTTCTCGCTTAACAGGGTAAAGCGTGCGCTTTTTTCAAGTGAGTCGCTTTTATGGCAGAAAAGCGAACTAGCCTCGCCTCGCATCGCTTCAGCGCTTTAAGCGAGAAGCGCACGCTTTTTACAACACTGTGTAATAGAGCAAACAATGTTTGTACTGCATTGTACATTTTGCATCTTCTTGATGCCTTATATGAAATCCATTATCTTATCCAAAAAAAAAAACAAAGGTGATATCCAGTTTTGTAACAATTACAGGGGTATCAAGTTACTAAATCATACCATGAAAGTTTGGGAGAGGGTGGTGGAGGTGAGGGTGAGGAAGACGGTGTCTATATCCGACAACCGGTTTGGGTTCATCCCGGGTCGCTCAACTACGGAAGCTATCCACCTTATTAGGAGGTTGGTGGAACAGTACAGGGATAAGCGGAAGGATCTGCACATGGTGTTTATTGACTTGGAGAAAGCGTATGACAAGGTCTCTATGGAGGTGCTCCGGAGATGTCTTGAGGCAAAGGGTGTGTCGGTAGCTTACATCAGAGCGATCAAGGACATGTATGATGGAGCTAAGACTAAGGTTAGGATTGTAGGAGGCGACTCGGAGCATTTCCCGGTTGTTATGGGGTTACACCAAGGCTCTGCGCTTAGCCCGTTCTTATTTGCCTTGGTGATGGATGCACTGACACACCATATTCAAGGGGATATGCCATGGTGTATGTTATTTGCTAATGAAATTGATGAGACGCGAGACAGTGTTAAGGAGAGTTTGGAGGTTTGGAGACAGGCCCTCGAGTCTAAGGTTTCAAGTTGAGCAGGTCTAAGACAGAGTACCTGGAGTGCAAGTTCAGCGCTGGGTCGAGGGAAGTAGGCATGGACATGAAGCTTGGATCACAGGTCATCCCCAATAAAGGTAGTTTCAAGTACCTTGGGTCGGTTATTCAAGGGGACGGAGATATCGACGAGAACGTCACTCACCGTATAGGGGCGGGATGGATGAAATGGAGGCTAGCATCTGGAGTCTTGTGTGACAAAAAAGTGCCACCAATACTCAAAGGTAAGTTTTATAGAGTTATGGTTAGACCCGCCATGTTGTATGGGGCAGTGTTGGCCGGTTAAGAACTCTCATATCCAGAAGATGAAGGTAGCAGAGATGAGGATGTTGAGGTGGATGTGCGGGCACACTAGGATGAATAAGATTAGGAATGAAGATATTCGGGAGAAGGTGGGTCTGGCCCCTGTGGATGACAAGATGCGGGAAGCGAGGCTCAGATGGTTCGAGCACGTGTAGAGGAGAAGCCCTGATGCTCCGGTGAGGAGGTGTGAGCGGTTGGATGTGATAGGTACGAGAAGAGGTAGAGGGCGGCCTAAGAAGTATTGGGGAGAGGTGATCAGGCAGGACATGGCACGACTGCAGATTTCCGAGGACATGGCCCTTGATAGGAAGGTCTGGAGGTCAAGCATTAAGGTTGTAGGCTAGGGGGTAGTCGAGCTTCTCCTACTTCGTACCGGGGGTGAGGCGGGGTTGGATAAGGTTGATCTTAGGCGGCTTGTGGTTAATGTTGAGTCCACACTATCCTTTCTGTTTTTCATAGCCCCGGGCCTTAATTACTGGTTAATATTATTGCATGTCATCTATTGTTTTGGTTTTATGCTTCGTTACTATTTTTACTGTTTCTACTGACGTTACTGATGAATTGTCTCTTCTTGTTTTATTTCCGTCTTCCTGAGCCGAGGGTCTATTGGAAACCGCCTCTCTGCCCCATCGAGGTAGGGGTAAGGTCTACGTACACACTACCCTCCCCAGACCCCACTTTGTTGGATTTTACTGAGTCGTTGTTATTGTTGTAAGCTCAATAGTTAACCACTGACTTGGCAATCTAAGACAGGATGCATGATCAGGTCAGAACGGAAAGACAATAGTAGGGTTATGATGGGAAAGGGTCTAGGTCTAAAGTACACACACGGCAGCCAAAAAAATAGAATGACTAGAATTTAAAACTCAGACTTGAACTGCGGTTAAATAATAAAAATGTTAAACATGGCACCTGCAGTTGACTGGAAAAATTCCTCCAAATCCTTCCCTTGCCCTGCATGACAGGAAAAGTAGCATTAGTTTGAAGGCAACTTCTCATGGCAGAGGGACTAGTCCAGATGTCAAGAGACAAACAGCTTATGCAGCCACACATCAGTCTGTATTTATTACAATGTGAACACGTTGTAATTTGTTTTTGAAAGATTAGTAATGCACATCTTAAAGAGTATAAATTGCATCAGGAACATATAAACAAGAAAATAAATTGACATTATTCGAATGTTAGGATCTGTGTGTTTTGATTTAATTCTCAAGATAGCTCTTACAATGTAATAGCACAATCACTAAATGCCAAGGATATCACCGCGATGCGTATATTTCTCATGTTGAAGGATGCAGTATGAAAACTAAGTTCAGAAAATACAAAAAATACACACAAACTAGGAGAATTTTGAGAAATGTGACTGTCGATATTGATTGATTTTTCCTCAAAACCTGTATAATATGGGACCTTTTGTTTTTTTCTTTCTTTGGGGGGAGGGGGGGGGGGGTGATATAGACATATATTACTCCCGCCATTTAATTTTGTATAGTGGTGTTTGGTTGAACACAGAGGTTAAGAAAGAAAGGGACTTCTAGCACATACCAAAAGTACCCTAAAATTTGCGGTCTTATATATTCCATGACATTTCTATGGCTATACGAGCATGCTACTTAGCGTAAAATGGAAAATTTTAAGTTTAAAGTAAAAGAGTTACAAAATATATAAAGGTGTCAGTCTCTTTCGGAGAGACCAAAAAAGAGTTTCATATGAAATAAAACAGGAGTACTATATATCACGTATACATCCGAAATCCAAGGGGGAAAAGAGAGAAACAGGAAGTTACCATTTTCATATTCCAATGCCTGAAGTATCATCTCCACCTGAAAGAAAACAACATATCAGTCTAGCAGAGAGCAGTGCATTAAGCTGACAAAAGTGATCACTCTCCATAGATAGCATCACCTCGTGGCAACAGAATGAATATCCTCTTCTTCTTTTTTTAAATAAGGTAAGAGAATGGGTATTCCAAAACTAGCTTTAAGCTTCTTGGAGGCTGAAATACTAGAGAAAAGTCTGGCACAGTAAAGTTTTTTAAAGAGGAGAAGCGTGCTACTTGAGAAAGGAAAAATGTGAAGAGTTCTAGGTGTTTAAACAATAAACAGACAACCGTGCATAGCAACTCTTTATCATGAACAAGACTCTTACTAAACAATCATGTCTGAATGCTAACAGACTAACAGAGTACCAATTTAAAAAAAGCCCAAATGCTAATAGAGTTTGTCCTGAACATCTTTTATGCATATTGGCAAACAAGATGTAGTGACAGACATGGCATTGAAAAAGAAGACAAGATAATACAACAATGAGTTAACTTATATGTCTACCAAATCACGTTTGGGTGCTAATTGAGTTTTCCCTGAACATTTTCTGTGCATATTGGGAAACAAGATGCAGTGACGAACAAGGCATTAAGAGAGGAAGATAAGATACAATGATGAGTAAACTTAAATGTTTATCCCCATGTAAATTAAAGTGAACACGTCAGCATAAACACCCATATAGATGGGACATATTCAAACTTTGGTAACATATAATACCTTATCAAAGTCCTTTACAACTTTGGCTTCTAAAGAAGAATTTTCTTCATATTCCATCCACAAGTCACTGATCTCCTTGGCTGCAATTGCCCAACAGTAAATAATAAACAAGAGAATAGATGAAAGCTCAATCTTTAGATGCACGAGCTAGTTGGCAAAAAACTCAATGGAGAAGAGAAGCAATACCTCGGGGTCCTCCACCTAAAAGTTTACACATGTCTTCTAGTGCTGCTCGCTCTCGTCTACTCTTTTCATCTTTTGAAATTCCATCAGCAGGAGTAATATCTCCAACAATTGCTGTTCAGTAGAAACACAAGAAAATATTTGACAAAGAATGTTAAATAAGAAGCTACCAAATTTTCCAAATCAAAGGCCCATAGGATTAGAAGACCCAAGAGATAGACGATTGTGTTGCCGAGTCTATACAAGACATTGGTTAGTAGCAAGATCATTGGATGAAAGTGAACAATGTCTTCTGAAAGTTTAACCTCATTTTCACAGCTTTACACAAGAAAAATATTTTAAGTGAAAACGATTGAAAATTTTTATTTTGTGTCTCACACAACTAGTGTAAGTTGTGTGAGACACAAAATAAAATCACTCAAAACGATTGATGATGCGAATACAGACAAAATTTGATGTTCATGTTCTAATGGTTTCTTTCTGTTCTTTCCATTTAATAAAGCTTGTAGATCAATAGTCAATGTCATTATCCAAGGAAGTAATACCGAAGGGCAAACTTGAAATATTCTTCCAGTTCCAGAGTATAAGATTTGACAAGCTTATGCGTCTATAAGTAATCCTCCATTTCTTATACCCTACCTTAGACTCTTAATTAAATCTTGTATCACAAAGCTCGTAATAGCACCAAATAATTAATGACACATGTCACAATTAAATAAGAGAAGAATCCCAAAAAGAAAAAGAAATTTTCATGGGAAGATGCTATCAGCCTATTTCATGTCATAGCCATAAAAGCAAAGAAAATAGAAATGAACAATCATAAATGAGAGCCTCACCTTCTGCAATGTCGTGCACAATTGCCATCTTTACACACCTAAATTTGGAAGAAGAAGAAGAAGCATGCATCATCCTCTAAATCAATCCACACATTTGGTGGAAACATAAATACAGGAATGTACATGTACTGATAAAACAAATGATTATTATTAAAACCGCTTACTTGTCACGATCAACACCAGGAAGGTCAGCAGCAATAAGAGCCATCACTCCCATACGGTACATGTGATCAGCTATAGACTCTGGAGCATTAACCCCTCTACGTACCCAACCTTCCCTCTTTGTCGTCTGATCATGATTCCAAACAGGAAATTTTAGCTCAGAATACACAAAAGATCACATGGAAAGGGATAAGATAACAGCGTCAAAAGAATGGTTACATGAAGTTGTGAACATAAAAGAGCTAGTATAGGCTATTAGCACAAGGCTGTCATATATTTTAAGAGATATACATACACTACCTTAAAAAATACTAAGCAGTTTAATAATTAAAGAGCTTCACCACAAATGACATTGGCTTGTAAGCAAAAGTATACTTTACGCATTAACATAATTCTAAAAAATATAAACAAAGCATAAACTAGACAGCATAAAATGGATTAGTTACTGGTATGTAATCTTTCAGACCCTAATAGACATGACAAGGATTAAATTTAGGATATTAGTTATATACACTGATAGTGAAACAATTTTGTTTACACCATCCTTATAATTTAACCTGTTATAATAGCACTTACCATTAATTCAAGGTTACCAATCAATGCTACTAAATAGAGTTACGTGCAATCACATCTAAGGTGACACGATCATGTAAATATAGTTTACACCTTCACAATGTTATTATTAAATAAAGTTACGTGCAATTACCTTTAAAGTAACCATATAGTCTAAATATATTTTACATGGTCAGTTCATAGAGCCTAAACACATTCATTCAGCGCGATACAACGAGTGTTACATAGAGTACAACGCCTATGCATTACATACTAAACAAACTAAATTAGTTGTAACGCAATTTCAAAGCAAATATAGATGGATTACATTCAGCGGGGTACAACAAGTATCGCATAGAGTACAACGCTGCAATGATTACATACTAAAATAACTGAAATAGACTGCAAATGCAAATATGAAGCAAATACATAACTCAAGTAAATGTAGCATAACGCCTGATGCACAGGGTACAGCTCTGTAAACAACACTCTATGATCCGACATATATCATACCTGGTACAACAAGTATTGCATAGAGTACAATGCTGCTACGATTACATAATAAAATAACTGAAATAGTGCAAATGCAAATATGAAGCAAATAGATAATTCAAGTAAAGCGTAGTACAACACATGATGCACAGAGTACAACTCTATATAAATAACACTGTAATGATCCTACATATATCATACTTTCATAAGCAAAATAAAATTAATATTAGTGATAATAAATCATAAAAAATGGAGAGCGTCGGGCGTACCTTGAGGCGGTGACAAAGAGTAAGAAAATCAATGGCGGACGAAGGAGAAGGAGATGCAGACGACGAAGAGGAAGACGAAGACGAAGAAGCTTCGGTAGCCATACGAGAAACCCTAGGAGAAGATGAATTAGAAGAAGAAGAAGTTCGAAAGTGTTTGAATCTGAAATGAGGAGAAGTAGAAGAAGCTAATGAAGGAATGAGTGCAATGGTGGATTTACACAGCACTCTGCTCATTTTCTCTTGTTTTTTGTTTCCCCTTTTTTCCCTTCTTTCTTTCTATTTTCTCTTTGTCTAAAATAAAATGATTGTTGGCTGTTTGAGTGGTGTTAAAAGAAAATTATTTTCTTTTGCTTCTTCCTTTTCTTTTTCGCCCTTTGGGTAAATACAAATATTAGAATAATATCTGTTTTTTTTAAACAAAAAAATAACTTCATGATTTGACAAAATAAAAATTATATAGGTAAGTTATCACATTTTTGGGTGCTACAAACTTAATTCAGGTTAGCAAATTCAAATTTTAAATTTTATGAGCTCAATACTGAATTCATTGCGTTTATGAAATAATAAGTTAAATATTAGTAATTTTTTACATAAATATTGTTAAATATGATGGGTTCAATTGAACCCATCACATACTTGGCGCTTCCGCCACTACATGCAACTTATCGTAGTTTAAGAGAAATGATCAACAAAAATAAAATTGCCTTTTTATCATATGATCAAAATTTTACATAATCTAGTATGTGAATAATTCACGACTTTGCAAGTATTTTTCGCTACAAGTCTTATTTAACTCATTACGGATTTATTACTCATAAACAAAACAAAAATCTTATTTCTTTAAAATAAGAAACTTACTTAGATCGAGTTTAATAAGCTCAACTTATACATATGCAAAACAAACAAACAAAAAGTTAAAAATATTAGTAATATATAATAGATCACGTCCATCCTGAACCAGTAACTCTAAATCCGATCTTCGCCTCCACTTAAAATTCAAGGTAGAATTGGAGGTGAAAGGGAAGAATGATGGTGCTTCTTCTTATCAAGGGCAACACACTTCTTGAAAACTTTGTTAGCATTATGCTTTACAACCTTAGGATCAATCTTGTCTTTAACCTCAGGCAAACCAATATAAACCTTGATTAATGCTTTGTGACACTTGAGTCCCATTTTAACAAGATCATGACAACATTTTTTGTCAACATTTCCTTTTTCATTTATAGCATTTATAACCTTATCGCCACATTTAAGTGGGAATTTCTTGGTACAATTTTCGACGAAATTTAATAAATCTTTTGGTAAGCTATTGATGTATTTATCATGTTCATCTTCTTCTTGAGGAGGTGATGGATGTTTTTCGTGATGGTTAGATTTGCAAAAGGCAGGAATTGCACTAGAAATTAATAAAATGGCCACAAAAGAGAAGAGAATATTGAGTTTTGCCATTTTTTAAATATGTTTTGTACTTGTTGATTTGATGCTTATTGATCTTAATATGAAGGTGTTTATATAAGCATGATTTTATACTGAGAGAATTAATGAGATTTATTTATCTGTTTCAACTTTTAATGTATTTGAGTAACGTTTGCTTATTGATGAATTAATTAACTTACAATTAAATGTCAAAAATACTTCTCTCTTAAATTTAATAATGTTATTAATTAGTTCATTCCCTCCTCCAAGTGCGGAAAAAAGAAATGAAAACTAAAAAAGAGACATGTAAATGTAAGAAGATTGAATATGAGCGTTAGTTTTTTTTTTTAAGTTTAACATTTAGATACTGATATTTTAAAGAATTTTGTATATTAAATTGTTTTAATATTAGGTGATTTCTTTCTAGATGTCTAAACCTTGGAGGACATAATTATTTGATACTTATTACTGATCGGATGTGGCAGTTATCTCGTGAAAATAATTGAGGTGCACACAAATTGACCCGGACACCGCGATTATAAAAATAATCGCCTTATAACCAACTACTAGTGTGTACGTAGAGCAAGGGTTTAAGTTTCGTGCATTAACAAATGTACAGATTCTTTATACTATCTGATTAATTTGACCTTTAATATGGGGTTTTCAACATAACTTTTCATAATAAATTTGATATGATAATTTTAAAAAATAGGATAATAACCTAAGGTAGCCGACCAAGTTAAACTAATATTGCAAAATTGTTATGTAACACCAGTACATATAACTTAAGTTCGGGGGATTTGTATCTATACCCGCTTTTTGGGTCACGTTTTAACTTCTGCCCGCTTTGCAAAAAATATTGCAAGCGTACCCATTTTTTCGCATAACTTCAGCATACGGGGCTGAAGTAGCAAAGGCGGTCACGCAAAACTTAAGCATTCTAGTAGACGGGCCTGAAGTAGCAAAGGCAATACGCTGAAGTTTTTTTTGTCCTGGATAAGATGCTGAAGTTATTTAGTTCATTTGTAAAAACTTCAGCACTAAAATAGCTAAAGTTTCTTTGTCCTGGATTCATTAGTTTTGTCATAAAACTTTTTCAAAAACTTCAGCAGAAGATGCTGAAGTTATTTAGTTCATTTGTAAAAACTTCAGCACTATATAGGCTAAAGTTTTTTTGTCCTGGATTCATTAGTTTTGTCATAAAGCTTTTTCAAAAACTTCAGCAAAAGATGTTGAAGTTATTTAGTTCATTTGTAAAAACTTCAGCACTATATAAGCCGAAGTTTTTGAAAAAGCTTTCTAACATACTAGATAAATAATCACCTTATTCTTTCATAGTGTATTATTACTATAAAATAATCAGATTGCCAACAATATCTAAACCATACATTTTGGAAACAATAAACGTGAAAAGAACATAATTACGTGAAAATATTCACAAATTATTATTTACTACCTTACGTAATTATTTATAATTTATTTTTAAATAATCTGATAAACATACTTATGACAATCATCCCATGAACTGAAGTTTCATAGCAGCACCAACAGCAGCAGAAGAAAGAAGAAGAAAACGAAGGAGGAGAAGGAGGCGGAGAAAGGGGGCTGGAGTTGTTTAAAAAGTGGGTACAAGTTAAAATTTTTTTAAAAAATGGGTATAGGTCAAATGGGGTGATTAAATAGGGCGCCTCGTGCAATTTTTACCTTAAGTTATTATTATATACTTCCTCTGTTCTAATTTATGTGAACCTGTTTGACTGGGCATCGAGTTTAAGAAAAAATGAAGACTTTTGGAATGTGTGGTCCTAAACAAGTCAAAAAGGGTCCAGAGTATTTGTGTGGTTATAAAAGCTTCTCATTAAGGGTAGAATTGTAAGTTTAACCTAAAATGTTTCCAAATTTATAAAGGGGTCGTTCTTTTTGGAACGAACCAAAAAGGAAATAGGTTCACATAAACTGGAACGGAGGGAGAATGAATTAGAGCCCGTTTGGCCAAGCTGCCCAAATCTGCTTATTTTGAAAAGTACTTTTTTTCAAAAGTACTTTATTTAAAAGGAAAAAGTACTTTTAAATAAAGTACTTTTGCAAAAAAAGTGTTTGTGTTTGGCCAATTCATTTAAGAAGTACTTTTTACAACATTTGGTAAATAAATAATGTTTGGCCAATCTTTCTAAAAAGTATTTTTGAGTGTCATATTACCAAAAGGTATAGTACCAAGGTCTTCTAATTCATCTAAATAGAAAAATGAACTTAAATATTTATCGTAAGAGACTTTTTTTATTTTTTTTATTTTATTTGATTGAAATATAAAGCATAAAGTAAACAAACATATTAAAGATTTAAATCAATTTTACATATATAGTTATACCAAAGCATATGATATTATCTAGTATAATTACTTATTGTTATATGATGATTTGAATAACTAAAATAACATCATTCAGTATAAATTAGAGTCTATCCACGAATACTATATATTGATAATCCATCATAAAATAATAAGTAAAGTCACTCACACATGATAAATTTCTCAACAATTTCATCTCAAATTCTATCACACAACGCCTCCATATTAGTAGAAGACTTGCCGCGCATTTCTAAAGGAATATCCAAAGGCTCATTTCCTTCATCAATCTCTGCAGTAATGCCTTCATTAGCATAATAGTTGAATTTTGTATTGATAGAAGAATGTCGTCGGATGAAATTATGTATAGTCATGGTAGTTGTAACTAGATGATTCTGAGTGTCAAACTTGAAAGATGTCACTGAGCGTAAAATAGAAATAATTTTAAATATATAAAAAAATCATAAAAGAAATAGTTAAGTATGCTTAAATTCTAATTCAAAAAGAGTAACTAATTATTAACAACACATAATGTATAATTTATTTAATTTTAAAAAAAAATTAAATTAAAAAAAAAAACTAATTATTACCTAACCTTACTAACTTTTTCCCAAAATGCCAAGTGGCCTATTGTGAGGATGTCACTTGACTTAATGTGGATGCATTTTCTTCTTCTTTTGATAATATATAGATAGATCATGCAATGCAATTGTAAATTTATTACGTATTTGTAGGTCATTTTCTCAAATTAGATTTGATAACTGTTTTACAAATTCGGGAACTAATGGCATATAATAGAAGAAATCATAAATGATTATTTGTAGGAAGAGAATTGATAATCCAAAGAAGAATGCAGATAATTTGCTTTAGTATAAAAAAAGAAGAAGATAATTTGGATAGTTACAAGACATTATACAAAGAAAAAAAAATCAAAAACAAAAAATTTCAATAAAAAATTTGGAAAGTTACAATATGATTCATATATATGATATCTTTAATTTTAATAGAATGGTAAAAACTAGAAACAAAAACGAAAAGAAAAAATTCAATTGCTAAGGGATAATTTGGAAAATATAAATTTATGGTAAGGATAGTTTTGTCTTTAATAAATTAATTTTCTATTTCTGTTCCTGCTTCTTGGAAGAAGCTAGAATTTTCTACTTCTTCCCAAAAGCAGAAGAACTGCTTCTGCTGCTAGCCAAAAGTACTTCTCTGCATTGGCCAAACAACACAAATTTTTTAAAAAGTACTTTTTTGGGGAGGAAAAAAGTACTTTTGGGCCTCTCAGAAACTTAGCCAAACAGGCTCTTAGTAACCTTGAAAATAAAATAAATAACATGTCACAACTATAATAGGTTTAAGTGAATTGTCAGTGCATGTTAGTAAATATTCCGTCTTAGTCAACTATAGGTAATTGAAGAGATACCTCAATTAAAAACATTTGATAGTGAGGATGTGGTTAAGTGTTATTACTGGCTAATTTCGCTACTAATTGTTTCATTTTCACCAGACGAATCGTTACTATCGCCAGTTAGTAGGTGTT